AGAACAAAGTGGAAACTGGTAGTAAAGGAACTCTGTTATAAGGATTGAATTTGCATAGGCTGCTCTGTTTGGACCGGTCAGGTACTTGTCGATTGACAAGATTACTACGAGGAACGCAGGAACAGAAACGATCAAATACCGATTCTGCTCTGAGTGAACCAATCTATTTTTTAGATTTGAACAGCATGCCAAAACTTTGTTATTATTATTATTATTATTATTAATGCATTTATTAAATATGTTTTACAATTATAATAATAATAATAATAATAATAAAACATTAAAATAATAAATGTAGTAATAATAATAATAATAATAATAATAATAATATTAAATAATAAATAATAATGAATACATCAATTAAATAATTATATAATGTAATGAATTTGTAAAATAGTATTGTAACATACTTATAATGTTAATTATAATATCATTATAATATAAAATTATTATTATTGTTGTTGTTGTTGTTAAATAATTACTAGAACAATAAGGATAATTACATAATTTAATAAAATAATGTAATACACAATAGTGACAATACCTGTAATGTATTATTATTGATAATTAATTACTTAAATATGTTATACAATAATGATACAATAATAACATTAAAAAATAATTATAATAATTATTATTATTATATAATTTAATTTGTTCAGTTTAATTAGTATTATTATTATTATATTCTGTATTTTTTCAAAATTATTTACTTCTTCCCAAAATATTTTTTAGATCAAGAAACTTTTTCAAGCTCGATTAAGATTTTAGAGCATATGTGTTAACTGCTAGCTCCAGCAATCTGCATAATTGATAAATAAAACTCTACTTGTCATGCATTGTGGGAATGAGGACAAGCTGTTTCATCTTTTGTAAAATGTCACACGTTCTTGATTGACAGCCTCTGTTAAAGCTGTTCAAGCATTTTTTTTCTCTCTCTCTCATTCTCCCTCAGGCCCCACATGGCTCTCCACCAACCTGGGCATCCTGACGTGTATCGAGTGTTCAGGGATCCACCGAGAGCTGGGCGTTCACTACTCCAGAATCCAGTCATTAACACTAGATGTTCTCAGCACCTCAGAGCTCTTGGTTAGTGTTTGATCTTTGATTTCACAGAGTGCATCTCCACAGATTCCCTAGCACTGCTGCTGTAAGCCTCAAATTGGGTTTATTTATTTCATTTGCACTGGATTCCTTTGATTCAGCCTTCATGCTTGAAATTTTTATGGGGTTTGCTCAAATCACTTGGGCTCTTTGGGAGCATGCATGATTTCAGACCAAAGCGTTTTTGGCCAGCAATTTAGGATCATTAAAGCAATCACACAAGACTGCAGAACTGTTAGCCACAGTGAGAAAGGCTCGCGTCTCTGATTGAAAGCCAAGATACACTGTTAGGCTGATTGAGATATTATGAAGTAGCAAAACAGATCAAATGGACCCTAAATAAATGCGTTAAGTCTGTTTGTTGGTACTTTAGAGTTGCAAAATGCAATTAGTTTTGCACCACTCTTGATTTTATGCATGTGTTTGCGTCTGTGTTTGTGTTGTGGTGTTAAGCTGGCCAAGAACGTGGGGAATGCTGGGTTTAATGAGATCATGGAAGCTTGTCTGACAGCAGAAGATGTAATCAAACCAAATCCAACCAGTGACATGTAAGCCAAGATTTGTCATCACCTTATATCATTATACAAATGTATATTGTATCGTTGTACTTATTTAATTCCCTGTAATGGCACAGGCAGGCGAGGAAAGACTTCATCATGGCTAAATACACAGAGAAGCGCTTTGCTCGTAAGAAGTGTCCAGACGCACTGTCCAAACTGCACACGCTCTGTGACGCTGTGAAGGCCCGGGACATTTTCTCTCTCATCCAGGTCTATGCTGAGGGTGTGGACCTAATGGAGCCCATTCCTCTGGCCAATGGCCATGTGAGTGTTTTTCCCATCTCAACTTGGATTGGATAAGAGTTATTCAGTTGTGGATTTAATTTATACTGTTAAGTGATGTTCAAATAAAAAATAAAATAATAATAATAAATTATTATTATTAAAAACACAATAATAAATTATTTATTTTTATTTGAACTTCATAAATAAATAAAACATGTATTATATAATTATATTTATAAAAAATATATTTATAATTAATATATTTGTAAAAAATAAATAATTAAAAGTTTTTTTTATTATAATAATTAAAAGTTTTTTTTATTATAATAATTAAATTATTTTTATTAGAACAT